TTAGGAGAATGTGCCCTTTCCGCACTTATCTTTGAGGATTTGGTTGCATTGGGGTTTTTTGAGATTATTTGTGTTAGGAATGTTTGATGAAGCAGCCCCCAGCCCCCAGAAATCACAGAATAAGGATACCCTGATGAGCTATATTCATCCATCTTCAGAGCGAGATATAAAATCTATGTACTGCTTCAGACAAAAAGAAACAGGAATTTAAGAACCTGCTATCTAAAATGAGCATTTCTCACGTCCTGCTGAGAGGCCTATGAAAAGCTCTGCTTCTCAAAAAAAAACCAACCACACAGGCAAGCAAATAGATGGGAATTTCTACCTTCAGCTTTATCTCAGTGTTGATACTATCATGTGAAAGGATCAACCCCTAAAGGAAGAGGGTCCTCAGGATCTAAAGCCCATAAATTTTTTTTATCTCCCTTGTTCAGTCGGACTGCCCTTTGACATCAGTGCTGAGAGCAGGGGGTGGTGGCAGCATCCATGAGTTGCAAACTACAGAGATGCTCCCAGCCTCCTTTAAAGAAACCACAGCACTCTGTGTACACACGTGCTTGTGGCATTCGGCACAGGCACAAATACTCATCTGGAATTTTAGGAGAATGTGCCCTTTCCGCACTTATCTTTGAGGATTTGGTTGCATTGGGGTTTTTTGAGATTATTTGTGTTAGGAATGTTTGATGAAGCAGCCCCCTGCAACAGATCTCCCAGAAATCACAGAATAAGGATACCCTGATAGCCCCCAGAAATCACAGAATAAGGATACCCTGATGAGCTATATTCATCCATCTTCAGAGCGAGATATAAAATCTATGTACTGCTTCAGACAAAAAGAAACAGGAATTTAAGAACCTGCTATCTAAAATGAGCATTTCTCTGGCAGGCCAGAGATGAGAGCTGGCAGAAATTATATTCACTTTCTAATTGTTATTGTCAACATTTCATGGTGTGTATTCCAAGTCCCAACACGTAACTTACTCAAAGAGAAAGTCTTCTGAAAAGCCTAGTAACTCAAGCCTACTGCACTACAGTCCTCATTCCGTGTTCATGTGTAGCCCCACGTCTGTGCAACTTCATTCTTACAAAGTCCAACAGGTGTAAGGTTCCTCCTTTTAAATGAAGCAGTAATTTGACTCTAGAATTACACCCAGCCAGCCATCGCCCGTCATCGCTATCCCGAGACTCTCATTCAGTCCCCCCGCAGCGGCGAGGGAGCTCGCCCATCTCCTGCTGCTCCATTTGGGAGGTGGATCCCACACTGGTGCTTTTTCTCAATTGTCAAGAACAGCTGGTGATTTTTCAGGATATATCACATGTCCTCATCAATACCTCTGCTATTTCACACTTTATTCCCTGCAGTAACCCGAGACAAGCATCATCCTGTCTAGGTGATCTGCCACCCCTCAGGTTCTCAAGTTGCTTTATATAAACCAGGCACATGCAGATCAAAACCCAGAGTATTAAGGGCAAGTAACATGGAGAAATGTTTTGCTCCTGATGTAAAAAACTCGAGTTTGCTTGCAACAAATATTTCCATATGAGGTAAACAACTTGATTTTAAATTCAATCATACTGGAAAACTGAAGTTTGCCTTGAGATCACCACAGATGCACACAAATCAGAGCTTGCCATCTTGAACATGATAGCAAGCTACTGCTGTCTGAAAATTTTTAAATATGGAAATAGAGTATACTTCTCATAGATTAAAAATTCTCAAACTTCCAGCTTCCTCACTGGTATTTCTGATCACTCCTTCCCCTGATTTCCAAACAAACAAACAACAACAAAAAAAAAAAAAGCACATGCAATACACAAACACAAGTAGCACAAACCTAGATTTTGTGCAACCAAGAGATGACACGAGTTCCCACTGTAGAGCGATTGCTACCATCAGTTTTAAAGAGATATGGTAAATTAGACTTTTCATTACAGACCAAGGGGGGAAAAAAAATTAGTTCCAATTGCCTAACCAGTTGCAGATAATTTCACCTGAGACATTACTTTTTATAGGAGAGTAAAGATGTTAAGAATATTCAGCCTAAAAACAATTTATGAAATGTTGACCATCATTAACATATATATGCATTTTATACATGAGGAAACGAGAAAACATACACTATATCCACCATTTCCAAAATAAGGGAAGTGAAAGTGTCACTTTCTATTACTTAAATTTTCAAAGTTAATTTGAAGTTAAAAGTTTAGCAAATAAACAGACCTGAAAGGGGCACCAGTTTCAAAAATGACTATGCACCCAGGCTCAGCAAATTAACTTAGTGGTCTCAATGTGGGTATCCAATGTTATTCTAATACACTCAATATAATTAAACATTTACAATTCACTCAATATATTTAATATAAATATATTAATATAAATAATATATATTTTATAAATAATAAATTTATATTAAATATTTACAATATACTCAATATAAAACTTCATACACATTCAGAAAGTGCATTATTTTCACTAATAAAATCAATAGAAGTAGTGAAGCCTGTTTCTCCACGGAGAACAGCCCAGCTAGCCAGAATCATCCAAACAGCTGATACAGGTAACACAGCCAGAATTATTCCGAACTGCCAGATTCAGGACCACCTCCTGTTGCCCTTTTTCTGCAACAGTTACTTGCAGTGTTGCAAGGGGAAAGGGCATCTCAACTCTCAGATTTTAGTTTGTTTGGGCTTTTGGTTTTTCTTGGGGTTTCAGCTTATCAATAGTGCTGGATAAGCTTGACTGTAATAAGCTGACTAAAGAGCCTTCTGAAAGCACGCGTTCAGACAACATTGTTCTGCTCACATGCATGAAATCTCTTTCTGGAAATTGAACCCCCAAATGGCTGGATTCCAGGACCTTATTCAGAATTGTTCAGGCTTTCTACTGCAAGATCTCTACCTCCCATGAGGATCAGCTTTCCTCCTGGGCTCCTTGCTGCTTGGCTAGAGGCACAAAGGGAATACCTAAGCCCAAGGGGAACCCTCATCCCTCCTTGTGTAGGTCTGTTAAAACCTCAATGGAAGGTTGGCAAAGGTCTATGCTTATGAGACAGAGTCCCCATGCTGAAATAGAACAGAAACACATAAGCAGTGGATAAAACTGGAAAACAACAAATCACTCAACATTCTAGTACTGAAGGGAGTGCTTTCCAATTCCCTAGAGATGTTTCAGCAGTGAAAGAAGTTTTGTTTTTATCTTAGATGACCTATATATCAGTATTAATTAATAGTCATTAGATTTTTTTTCTACTGGAAAACAAACATACTAGGGAAGGGAGCACTTTCTAAATACTATGAATGTAAAATGAGGCACAATTCTCATAAGCACAACACTCATTATCATTTTTCCACTGTCTTGTAGCTACATATTTCACTGAAAAATGATAACGTTCAAGCAAAAAATGTGATTTCAGAAGTCCAGTTCCTCTATATGCACACTGCTATTTTCCCTGCATGGAAAGGCGCAAAATGTGAAGAACAACAGCCTCCAAATGAAACCACATCACAACACAGTTCTGGTACTTCAACTATTGCTTGGTTCTGGAGAATACATTTTCAAAAATAACCTGAGGCTTGTAAGTGTTTTGTTGCAAACAGGATGCGATCCTACACAGGAGCTGAAACTAGGGTTGGAAGATAAGTTCTTTAATCGATTGTCTGAAATATTCTATCTTCATCAGATCAATCCTAAGTTGCCAGCTGAGGGTGGAGAATTATTCCCCTGACTCCTTTAGAAGTGACAAATGAAAGCAATTTTCTGCAGTGGGAAAAGTAGAGAAGTTTTCAGGTTTCATCAATACATGTCAATATGATATTAATATAAATGTCTCTTTTAATACCTCCACAAGTAATCTCAAAGAGTCAAAAAGTCATTTTTCTGCTACATGATGAATAAAATGCACTTAAAGATCATCGATTAACTATTTTTTGTATAGAAATCTATCTCCAATTAACAACACGATGTTCGTTTGCTTTCCTAGTTATGACTATAATTAAGTATGAAACTTTTTTTTATTTTGTTTTAAGTGTGATTGATGAAACCAAGTGCAACTGAATAACAGGATTCCTCTAATCCATGCTCAATACGATGCAGAAATTGTTGTGAAGGTCACACAGGCAAATAACTTCCTGCCATTAGCGCGTGCCTGGAAAACAAGGGAGAGGGTCTAACAAAGGCAGATGGAGTGGGGAAAAAAATCCAACCACAAATCAGAATGTCACAGGAACCAGTGAAAGCTATAACTGAGCCTGATCTAAAGCCTCCCTGCAGATGATGACAGTCTTTCCAGATCCATCAGGAAGCCCGGGGTCAAACCTCTGCATTACATGGCAGAACTCTGCTCGGCTTCACAGGCACATTGAATTCCTAGTCCCTCGTTTGGCACAGACAAGGATGTCTTTCCAAAGACTGTGTTAAATTTTGAAGGTAGTCCAATTCTTCACAGCCAGGAAAGACACCCATTTTTTGCAACGGAGACTTTTTCAAATAGGGGGGAAAGGGTTATCCATGGGCACCCAGGAGGAAGAAATCACAAGACTCAGGTGTAGGAGCCGCCCAGCAGTAGAGAGCTATTGTTTTCCAGAAGCCAATTCAAACATTCATTACCCTAGTCCAGAAAAATGGCATAACTGACTACAAGCAAGAAAACTGGCATTTCTGAATGCATAATGTGCCATCCCTCCATCCTTCCCGAAAACCCTCTTCTCTCCCCATCTCAATTCTCTCACCGTTTTCCGCAGCACTGTGTGTGCACAGTACTGAGTGACATGAGCAAACATGATCCAGCGCAACCAGTGAACTGTGTTGAACACGGTGCATCTAAAAACATCAGCAGATATAGCATCATGCGTGATAACTGTCATTCTTCACATATTATTAGAGGAAGGAGATTCAGAAAGCTTGAAATGCATTCAGTGCTTGCAGACGGCAGTCAAACAAGACTGGCCATTATGTCACTGAAAAGCTTAAAATTCAACAGTTCCTGTAAGAACCCACTTACCAGCTATCCAAGGAGCCTGGCACGGACAATTTACACATGTTCTGTTTCCTGCTGCTTTTGCAAAAGAAATCCATGCATCCCACACTCATAACTTCCAGGAAAAGTGGGGAAAAAAAAATTAATCTGAAAGTCCAGCACCTCAGCAAGACTAGTTAGGAAAACAGAGAGGTGTTCAAATTTTGAGGAAATCTTCTCCAGTTTCAACTTATAACCCCCCTCCCCTGCTTCCCACCACAATGTGTCAATCTGAATCAGGGAAATCTAAAGCAGGAGGAAGAAAAGAAGTATCAAAGGCCAATTCTTGCAAGAGAAATGGCGCTTGCGAGCTGGTCAGTGTGAGTCTGCTGAAATGATGTATGGCTAGGTGGGGAGCGTATATGTGCACACACATGCACACAGACGTCAGACCCTTCCTTGGAAGTGGATTAGGCGGCAGATGGTGTCAGAACCTGAGCTGCTGTCAAGAGCAGAGTTCACGCTGTTCTGCTCCCCTGCGCTTAGAGAGAAAAGCAGCAAAGCCAAGCTATCAAAAAAAAAATATATAAAAAAAAGGCCGATAAATAGCTGACAATGCTGACAATCAGCTTTGTCACGGGCAACGAGTGGAATGACACCCCTTCATTTGCTCCCTTCTCCCAGAGTCCTTACAGGCAAAATCCTCTCTGAAACAGAGACAAAAGAGGAAACAAACGTAGAGGTGCAGTCTCCAAGCATAAGAGGCTCAGTTTTTCCACGGGGAAACTAGAACCTGCTATTACCAACCCAAATACCAGAACCCAGGACAGAGAGGGGGGAAGAACACCACCCAGCTCAAGGACTATTAAAAGCAAAGGGAGGGGAAAAAAAAAAGAAAAAAGAAAAAGAAGAAAAAAGCCATCTTTGATTGCCAACACAATGAAAATAAATGAGGGAAATAACATTTGGGCGGGATGTACCAGCTGAAAGCAGACACAATGACTTTGTGCAGGCACCCCTGTTATTAATAATTATTACAGATAATAAGGGTTTTCAGGCTGAGCAAAAGGATCTTTTCCAGTTCCTAAAACCTCATCTCTCCCTGTCCTGTCACCTACCTCCCCCTTTTCTCTCCCCTCTGAGCACCTGCTTTGCATAGCTTTCCTTGTATTATCATTAGCTTCATGGATAATTGATAGCTGAGCTCGTCCAGCTGATGCTAAGAAAAGACGACAAGGTGGTTAGACACACGCCTACTATAAATAGACACACAACATGGCCAGCGTTTGCCAACATCTGATGACGCCTTCCCTCCTGGGTCCTAAAGTTAGCTAGTTTCTGAAAGTCAGGGAAGCAAAGGAGAGCAAGGTAAAATGCTTTCAATTAATTTTGCAAAGATTGAAGGGATAAAAATAAGAGTGGGGCTTTATATTTTTATGACATGCTAAAAATACCCACTTCATGAAACCTTCAGCATAGTTTGCAAAGCACAGTTTAAAAGCCTTTACTTTTCTTTTTTTTTTAAAAAAGCAACTGTGAAGCTCAAGATATTTAGCCGGTGCTGGGGTAGGTCTTTGCCGGTAGGGCTGAGAAGGGTCACGAAAAGACCTCTTTGCTGAGCACAGCATGTGGCAGCTACATAGAGAATAAAGAAAAAAAAAAAAATTCACAATTGCCATAAGCCCTGAGGTATCTCTGCGAAGCATAAGCGCTGCGCTCGGGAGCTCAGAGGGGTGAAGGCTGTCCATCGGTGGGTGCAAGGGAATCACAGCTGCCTCTGCATGGCTGGCAGGAGACACAGGCTCCCTTGGCCACTGACTCAGCAGCAAAACCTCCAGCCTCATCACTGGTTGGTTCTGGATGCTTCTGGGGCAACCTCCTGACCTGTCCTTGATTGGATATGCCAGAGGTAGGCTTCCAGCTGGAAAATCCTTAGTCTTGCTTGGCCCATCTCCAAAGGCTGAGGGAGGTATGTTATTCCACCACATAGTTGCATTTTACCTACACCTTCTTGTTGATGACCCTTCTCCATGGCATCTTCTACTCCTGCAGTATAGAAATTACCTTTACACAATTCACCCAGACTCTCCAGCACGCTCACCCCATCTCTCAACAGTCTGCAGAGCACACAAAGAACTACCTGCCTTTCAGAGTAACCTGCCTTTCAGGAGCCAGATCGTATTTTCTACCTTTGACCAGAGGAAAAGTACCCTTAGAAAGGATCCCTGGAGCGTTTCTACCTCTGGCTGTGGAAGCCAGGCAAAGCACACACCATTCTCAGAGCATTTTGTCTTCCTTTTACAAAAAGCTAACCCAACATGATGTGGGCTCCAAAAATACTGGCTCCTGGATTGGGGCAACCATTTACCTCTTTTTGTCTTAGTCATTGTGTCTCCAGTTACACTTTGCAGATCATATTGATTTTTCTTTTTCCCCTTAAAGTAAAATGCTTATTTCTGGAAATTCTTAGTGCCCTCCCTCTACAAGCACTAACACAGGCTGTTTCTATCTGCCAGGTCTCACTCACCGACAGCCAACTAAGCTTCATCAGTACAAATAAGGCAAGCAGCAGTTTAAAATTCATCCTAAGGAAAGCAGCTGCAGCTAAGTATTTGCCCCAGCACATGCTGAGGTATCAGCACTGGTTTTGTCCTGACAGTAGCTACCTCTCTTTTCAGAGCTGATGAACTCACACATGTACTCAGGTCTTTCTCATTTTCTTTCTTGGCGGTAATCTCAGTCTGAAAGCCATTTTAGGCAGCAGGAGTACAGCTATGTGAAAATAGACAACCGTTTGTCCTAATTCTCAATCGAATACGGACAGTGAGGAAAATCTGGCACTTCCAATAGGAGAAGACATTTGTATCTCACAATTGACCACGACAGAGCTGTCACCACATGCAGAAAGCACCCAGTCACGACACAAGAGCAGTATCTCAGACCACAGGCAAAGGGAAAAAGAAGAGAACCTAAGCCAAGCCTCCGTGCAGCTCTGTGACAGGCAGCAGGCACACAGCAGGAATGGTGGTATGAAGCCACGCAAGTTTGAGGAGTGGGAGGAGAACTTTTTCTTAAAAAAGCTCCAGAGATCTGCATAAGGTGGATGTTTCATCTTGAGAAACTTGTAGCTCAAAGCTATCAAGAAAAGCTGCGTCAGAAGAAAAAAAAAAAAATCTCCCTTTTATAAAACTGCTTACCTAGCCAGTGCTGGAGGGCAAGCATACTATGGGGAAAACAAAGAGAAAAAGCATTCAAACAGTTTTCCCTCTCACCGGCCAAAAAAATATACACCAAAATGGAAGCCTTAAATATTTAATGTCCAAAACAAACAAGAGAATTTCCCCAAACAAGACTGCTGGTTCAACACAAAGCAGCAGCACTCACAATTAAGACGATAGAGTTTTTACACGCAGCTGCACCAATACCAGTTGGGGACAGGTAAAATCCACTTAGAAAATAAAAAAAAAAAAAATGCAGGTTCACTTTACAGTAGCAGAGAGCCAGGGATCAGGCGGAGAACAGCTGACCTTCCCTGTCTTTGTTACGCTTATATGAAGCAGTTAATGCCACCAGAAGAGTGGGAGGCAGTTAGCAGGGATCAGTGGTAGGAGTCTCAATAGATTATGCTATTATTTTGAGATTCTGTAAGAGAACAAATTAACCTTCTTTATAACTCTTGGCTTACTTTAATAGATTTAATGGATGTCATAGGCTGGAAATACCGTCTTACATTCCCTTAATTTCTGTACTGATTGTCCTCCTTACAATGAAAATCCACTATTTGAGACCTTGGTGGGGGAGCGCTGGTGCTGTTAACCACACAGTCAAACCCTCAGCTGCTTGACTGGTGTCTTGTTCAAACCCCCATGACTGAAGCAATCGTCACCCTGGGGTCAGGAACACCTGTCCCACAAGCTCAGACCAGCAGAAGCCATTGGGATTTTTCCACCTTTCCTTAAAGCAGATGGCATTGTGCGTTTACCCAACACCATCTGGGTATTTTTACCTCCATATTCCCACTCCTGCAGGGCCCCAGGGGGCTGGCAACATCTGACATCTCTCTTGATGGTTCCTTGCAGCACAGAAGAGTTTTTCATAGGTTGTGCTAAGGGGCTTAATCTTGCTACAGGGATATGAGTCCCTTACAATTACTGATACAAGAAAATTTAGAATTTTTATTTCCTTTACAAATCTAGATTGTGCAATCATTATATGGTTACCTGTGATCACACGGACATGACCCAATGGCCAGCACAGTCTGATCGTAACCTTTATTCACCCCCACTTTTTTTGGTTTTAGATCTCTATTGTTTTTCCTACCATCCTTTCCAAAATTTAAACAAAGGTTTTTTGACAGGCACACAAGCCTGCACATCTCACACAAGCAGAAAGGCATTTTTTTCCCTGTAGATTAGCCAAAGATGTCATTGTTTTCCACTAGCGTTCACCTCACTACTGAAATTCTTCATTTCAGATGCAACTGTAATAGAACATCTTATTTTACTTCAGATAAGGTCAATCACCCAGAAGTTACTACTAATGCAGAAGCCCAGTGCAGAGTACACAGAGGAAACAGGAGTGGAAGGTTTCTAGATGAAGGGAAGAAGTCATTTCCCAGTGAAGGGGTAAGAAAGACTGAGGAGCAATGCACTAAAACCTGCTCATGGTGGTGACAATTGCAGAAGGAACTCTTCTGACTGGACATCAGAAGGAACAAGGTGAGAGATCAGATAGGCTGAAACTAAGCCTGGGAAAGGGAAGCCTTGCTCAGAAACATAGTCATGCCAGAATTACTTCCACACAAACAGCTCATTCTGCCAGACTCTGGCTGGCTGGAGACCCCGGAGGCTTCAACCCATCCACCACTTATTCTGTTGACTCAGTCATTCACTATGAATGTTATAAATGGAGATTATTAAAAGGGCTGGAAGGCAGAGGGTTTGAATGGCTGCAAGCCCCTCTAGAAGAATTCCTTCACAATGCTTACAACAAACCAGAGCATGGAGTTGGCATTTCCCTCTCTCTGTTTAGTCCCAAGTGAGTGCCTGAGGTAGGTGTCACAGCTCTCCTTCATACGCTGTTCTGCAGGCAGACCAGAACGAGGGAAAAAAACATATGTTACAGGCTATACTCATGAATTTGTTCAG